ATTCTGTTTTTAGACTGGGATACATCTTTACTGAAGATTAGCAGCCTGGTGGGTTGGGGAAATTAAATTTTACAAGGGCTGCAAACTGGAAAGCACATACTCAGAGGTGTGAAAATGAGATGGGGAGGTATTAATGTAGTGACTTCTTAATGAGTACATCCTATGGCCTCAGGCCTTGGGGCTTTCCTGGAGGTGAGGTTACTTTAGAGTAACGGGTGATATGAATTTAAAGGGAAAATCCCAGGATAATTCCTAATGTGGCACTCTTGTCCCAAAATAAGGGACCTTTTCTGATTTAATTTAATGCAGTTCCAATATATATGGCTAATAATTCATGAGCTATTTCATAGCTATTATTTTGATCTTTTCCCAGGTAGAGAAGCTGGTGACAGGGCTGACTGAATTGGCTCATGGTTCCCTTTGGTGGCTCATGGTCCCCTTCGGTGGCTCATCAGAAGAAGTGTTCTAGCTGATTCCTGCAGGGGCATTGGCTCTCCTCCCCAGGGCTGTGCCAGTGGCTCTGCCCAAAGCCCACCACAATCACTGCTCTCTTCCTTTGGAGCTGAACTTGCTCTCACCTCTGCTTTTCCCTGTTGTGAATCTGGCAAGCCAGAGCCAACGTGACCAGGGCATGTGCTGTGAGCCAAGCTGGCAAAACCCGTGTGCTGCTCCAGCTTCATTCCCTCCATGCTCCTGCCAACCAACACGCACATTCACCTTACGTTAATGAAACAGTGACTTGGGAAAATGTCTTTTCAGGAGCTACATCAGGTTTTCCCCTTTAGTGCACTGTTTGATACAGGAAGTGTGGGAAAGAAACCCTTTAAATATTCAAAGCATCCCCCAAAAGGAGTGCCAGCTGTATATATGGGCGCTGCTCATAAATTAGGAGCAGCATGGGCTGCCAGTATGTTTTTTTTCCCTTCTATGCACTCAGGTTGTCCTGTGACCTCTCCCTGCTTGATTTATTTGGCAGTTTCTCTCCGTGGGAAGGCAGCGGGATGGGTGTGTTACAGCCTATGAATGTTCTGCTCCACGCCAGCTTATTTGCATTCACTTTATCTGATGAATATACCCGTTGTGTTTCTAAATGTCTGGAGTAATTTCTGGTTGATGTAGCACTACCTTGTACTGCGAACATCCTTCTGTGTCATCTTCAAATAAAAATTTAGATCTGTCAGGATTGTTCTTTTCCCAAAGGAAGTGAAATTAGTACGAGATTTTGTTTGGCTCATGTGGATGTTTCAGGAATGTTTGCCATCTGATCTGCTTGCATGTAGATGAGAGCAAAGGCAGATATTTATTTTTTTTAAACCACATGTAGACAACTGAGTATTATGAATGAGCTTATTATTCTGTAAGGTGCTTATTATATTATCTCCTCTTTGCCTTTGTCTTTAGGGAGAACTCTTTAACCACTTCAGGGATTGATTACATTTGATTAGAGAGTAGTTTGTCTTTTGAATCCGTTGGCCTGTATGAAAGTCTGTAAGTTTATTCCGTTTTCTGATGCAGCTGGAATTGAACCATGTGTGTATTATACGAATGAGGACCAAATGCAAAGCTATTTCATAAAAGCCTATTTGAATTGAAGAGTGCCCTTTTCTTACAGAATTATAATACTGGATTGCAGGAATGGAAAAGAGCCTGCAGGCTCATCTTGCCCATGGTAGCTTTCAGATAGCACCCTTTCCCTTCCGCACCCTTCCTCTCAGATCCTTCTTCATTTGAAACTTGAAAATTCTGGATCATCTTTTCATAAAAAAGTAAAATTTTCATGGTTTGCTTGATTTATCCTGTTGTGGTAGCCACAATTGTTTCCCCTGCCTTCTGCCCTTATGCCTGGAGACCTTGTGCCTGGGAGATGGAGGAGTGGTGGGGCTTGCGTTCTCTGATCTCGCATAGCTGAGGGTGAGCCAGCTTTGGGAGGGGGATAGGCTGGCTTGGCTGACAGGAGTGCTTGCAAGTCTTATTTTCTATCGTTCTTTGAAAGCGTAATGCCCTTTCTTTCTCCTAAACACAACCAACATGGTTGTTCCCTGGCCAATATGGTGTCTGTGTTCTGAAATGATGACCAGATTTCCATGGGGAGTGAAAGTACAGACTGATGCTCCCAAAGTTCAATGTAATGACATCTTCCTGCAAGTGTGATAGGCAGTGGGGTCATGATGGGAAGGAAGACTGGGTGGATAAGTGCGATGTGTACCCACAGAATCCATCTCCTCTGAACTGCTTCCATGAGCTCTGATTTAATCTCCTAAGCTTTTACTTAGGTTATCACTTCTCTGTAGGAGCATGGTGTTTCTCAAGTGCCTGACTGACGGGGATTTAAGGGAAGAAAAGTCAGAGCCAGCTTCCTGGCAGTTTCACTAATTGCAGCTTATTATAAATTTAACAGATGAACTGTCAGTTTCCTGAAGGTGTGTGAGCACCACAACCTTTCCTTGGATTCTGCACTGGCTATAGGAAAATTTAACTTGTAAGGTGCTAAGCTAATGTAGTGCATTTCATCACTCAGTGAGGTGTTCCTTGGTTTACAATTTGCAGACTTCTTTACTCATTCTATCACATCTTTCATAACAGGGGACTGTGGTCTAAAAGATACCTTTGGTGTGTTTCTTAGATGTATTTAGCCAATCTACTCCCAATACCTGTGGGAGGTATGGAAGTTCTCAGAGTCTGCTTCCAGTGAGTGAAGCTTTTGCCTTTCAATAGAGCAAGCCATTTTATTAGTTTTTCCCTCCAGATGATTTTATTAGTTTTGCCCTACAGATGTCTAATCTGATAGGACAAATTTGATAGGACAAATGCAGTAGGACTGAAATGATACTTTTTTTCACTTGAAATGTCTGGGTATTTCAGAGCTTCTGAAATAAATTCTGTAACTCGAGAAGCCAAACATTTGTAAGTAGTTCATCTGTCTGCTGTACAGTTTTTAAAGAAGAAATATACATATAGCACTTTCCTTAAAGTTTTTGGACAGCATCCTGATTTTTCAGGGTTGGTGGTAACTTTTCCTCCTGTTCTGGTTACTCTCTATATAATGCAATCCTTGTAGTTTCATACTTAATTTGCACTGTCAAATCCCTACTTCTCTGAATTCGAACTCAGATTTTATATTGGCTGCGTTTCTGTTGTGTGACTTAGCCAGCGGACAGCACATCTTGGGCAGCTTTGCTTACACCTTTACCTGACAACTGGCCATTAAAAAGATGTTTCGACCCTGAAAGGTGATGTCTGTATGGTGTGTGTTGGCCAGCTGGTTCCAGAGTCACTTTTCCCCCTTTCTTGCCCTGTTTATTCCCATGCAAAAAGCGAGCTCAGGGGTACCAGCCACCTAGCCCTCCTCTGCCTTGATCCTTCTCATGAAACTTTTGGTGGTAGAAAATGGCAGAACAGGCAGAAAATAAGGATGCCCATAAGTATGCTGGGGAGAGGCTCTTCATTAGGGACTGTAGTGGTAGGACAAGGGGTAATGGCTTTAAACTTAAACAGGGGAAGTTTAGGTTAGATATAAGGAAGAAGTTCTTCACAGTGAGGGTGGTGAGGCACTGGAATAGGTTGCCCAAGGTAATTGTGAATGCTCCATCCCTGGAGGTGTTCAAGGCCAGGTTGGACAGAGCCTTTGGAGACATAGTTTAGTGTGTGGTGTCCCTGCTCATGGCAGGGGGGTTGGAGCTAGATGATCTTAAGGTCCTTTCCAACCCAAACTGTTCTATGATTCTATGATAAAATCGTATGTTTATTTGAAAGTGATGATGCAAAAAGAATGTACCTCTGAGGCTGAAGAATTTCTAAGAAAGCAAATAAAACCATCAGCACAGAGGTCTGAAGTTAGGGGGGGACAGAGGCAAGTAAAGCTCTTTCTCTGGTAAATTTAATTCACACTTTTTGCTAAATGTAAATGATAGCTTAGGAAAAAAGTGCTTGGAATACATAGTAAATGATGTTGCCAGGATACTTCCTGATCATGTTAATTAAACTGTCCCACAGATTTGGCTTAATTACTGCATAATTTGCATATTGGAAATGATGGTACGCATTACTAAAGAAAGCTCGTATTCTGTTAGCAGGAAGAACATTGTACATGAATTAATTTCCAGGGGAAGGAGTCTCTAGACTCATATAATGATGTATCTTGAAAATAAAATTGAGATTTTTGATAATGACCTGACATACGTCTCATTCTTTTTTGCAAGATTACATTTTATGCTTGCTTCTCTAAGTTCCTTAGAGACCTCATCCCAACAGCCTTCCTGTTGTTGGCTATTTCTTTAATTGCAAGAACCACTGTTGTTTTCAAGGTTGCTGGTAGTGAAGCAGATATTAGTTAACTTGTGTAAAGTGTCAGAATATTTGTCTTGAGGCCCACATTTGATGCTGAATGTTGGTGATGCGCTTCACCACACTCCCAGGTAAAACTTGCTATTAAGCTATCAGTTTCTTCTTGACTTGTTGTTTGTTGTTGGTTTTGTTTTGCTTTGTTTTTCATTTCTGACATGTCTCTGTCATCCTAACTGTGGAGGCCCGAGGCCAAATGAAGAAATGCTGAAATATCACTTTGCTTTTCCAGTCTGAGGGCAGGTGTTGCTGATGGACACCCTGCTTGGAGGCCTCAGGCTATCCCGGGTGCCTGGTGGGGTGGTGGGAGCAGCGGTGTGCCTTTGTAACACTGAAAAAAAAGGATTTTGCATCTGCATTTCTGTCAGGGTAATTTTATAGCTCCTGTCCCTGCTGTTGCTTTGAGTTCAGTAACGTTCCTGCAGCCGTGTTTAACTGCAGGACTGTGACAGTGCTTAGGATAAGGAAGACAAAGCATCAAAATGCCTCCATGATGTAAGACAAGATAGAAACTGTTTTGTTTTAGGAAAAAAAAAGTCTTCTGAATACAGCAATTTCCCAATTTAGACTGCTAATTGCTTTGGATGCTATTGTTGCTAGGATATGCATTTCCAGTGTGGCTTTTAATTTTTAATGCTTTTTGATGTGTTTTTAAACAGGTGATCATAAACAGCACAATCACACCTAACATGACCTTCACTAAAACATCGCAGAAGTTCGGCCAGTGGGCAGACAGCAGAGCAAATACTGTGTTTGGTTTGGGCTTTCCCTCCGAGCAGCAGCTGACAAAGGTAATGGGGCTCACTGAATTTTGGCAAAGTCTGTCTTGTTTCTTATTAATGAAGAACAGCGTATATCTATCCCACTCTTCTGAGCTGCATGCTTCTGCAAGTCCTCCTCATCCACACAAGTTGCTCATCTCCTGTAATTAGCCAATGTCTGTATATACAGAAGCAGGCAGTATTGAAGACTTTGTAGTCAAAACTACAAATTAAATCTGACTGCTGACAATGGTACTGGGAGGTGATCTTGACAGTATCTTGCCCAGCATGGCTGAAAGCATTTGTGGTTTTAGGTGTTTACAGAAATAACCTGAACTCTAGTACTTTTTGGCATCTCCCTGGCTTTCATGCTCATTTCAGCTGCGAGTGGCAACAAAAGCAAAGGGAACCACTGATCTGCCAGGACTGTTGGCATTAAGGTTGCCTAATGTGTCTGGGGGAAAAGAGTTGCTGTCTCAGCCTCAGAAGTGTACGTTTTGATGACTTGCCCCCATTGGTAGCTAACCGAGGTAAAAGAGTTACCAGCCCCCAGGGCTTGCAGGTGCCCTTGTTTTGCAGATACCACTGCTCTCAGGAGGCTCAGTGAACTGATCTGGGTTAAAATAATATTGCATTTTTGGCATTTCAGCTCCGTGGTGTTATTTGCAGCCCTGACTCAAAGCTGCTTTATCACAGACCTGAGGAGGTGGCAGTGAGTTGTGGCAGTGACAGGGATGAGAAGCCAGGGAGGTCTAACACCAGGTTTGCTGGCAAAGCTGCCTCTCTCAGAGGGCAAATCTGGCCATGGGTTTGGTGTTAATGCAACACTTCCCTGGCCCGGGGACTGGCTACAGCAGCAGACTTGAAAGTCTAGAGCTGCCTCTTGTCATGAATAACCAACAGTTTAAAATACATTCTCTGTCATTAGATCAGTGCTTTTGCCAAGTGCTCGTCAAGTAGCTGAGATGTTTGGTCATGTAGTATAAAACCCCTACTTATCTAACACATAGTTGACACCTGAAGAATGGCTACTTGGCACTGGGTTTTGTCAGTTAACTCAACATTGTGTCCTTGGGCCTGGTACACAGTCTCTCTTGTTGCTGTCCTCTTGTATGCTTTGATAAGAAGAGAATCAGGATAACAGGATGTTTTTGTGGTGTCTAAAACAGCAAAGGCAGACCATTGCAAAAGGAGGACTTTTTAATCAACTGATTTGTTTTAGGAATTTATTTTATTAAGTTTGTTTATTGGGTTTTTGCATTTCCAGAGAACTGTATTTTTTGCAAGTATTTCTTAAAGCGTATTTTGCTTTTCATGTTAAATTATTTTTGGATTTGGGATGTCCATAAAGGTGCCATGGCAATAATCTAAGGCCACCCAATCAATCACATGCAAAACTGTTCTTTTAAAAATGAGGTGCTGGTGCTGGTTATGTTTTATGATGCTTATACAAGTGTAGGAGACTGCCCATATGCTGTGGCAAAGAGGTGTTCAAAGTAGCTAATAAGTAGTATTGGAATATGGGAGGATTATAGTGGACCTGGGGAAGTAGCTTGTTTTGAGTAACAGATCAGCATGATACAATACAACCACTGAGCACCAAACGAAAGAATTAGCATCACTGGGTAGTAATTGGTGACTAAAGTTACACCTCTACAACTGTACAGGTGACCACATGATACCTCAGTGCTGGGGAGGGTTAAACACGCACCACATGCCGCATAGAGCCAGTGGTGCTGGGGCTGGCTCAGAGGATGAGAGGTATAACAAGGCACAAAATTCATTTAGAGGTCCTTGCAGCTTAGAGAGGTTTAACCATATTGTCCAAAAATGTCCTAACATGTGCTTAGAATAAACTTAATGCTGGTATCAGACAGCAGGTCTCCAATGTTCACGTGGCCAGACTAGAGCCAATCTGTAAAACATGCCATGTGGGCGCAGGGGCCTTGGCACCAGCTGTGTTTCTCTCCAGATTGGTTTGCACATCTGTTTGCACGATCTGCTGGATAGCACGCTGCCCATGATACAGCCTTCTACTTGCAGGAAAGCTTTCCAAATCAGCAGAAAGACTGGGTTTTGTCAGAATACTGAAGAGGAGCTTGAGGGGAGCACTTCCGAAAGTGGCACAAGATGATCTATTAAAAAAAAAAATAATCTGACAGTTACCTACCTGGAAAATGTAAGAAAATCTGGTTTATTACCACCATGCGAATCAATGGGACAAAGGTACCTCTTACCGTGCTCCTCGGTTTAATTATTGAACCATTAGTAAGAAAGATCAGAGATGGTGGAGAGATTACAGATGTGTATTAGGAATAGTGAAATCAAATTTCGTTTTATATTGCTATCATTATACTTTTATAAAAGAAATTAAAGATTGCCAGTTTTACTGGAAATAATTGAAACATTTAGGAATTGAAACGAGATGCTAAAACTCCACTAAACCAGAGATCAATAGCCCTGGCTTTAAATAATTAAATAAAGCTGAAATATGTCTGCTGAAAACAATGAATAATAATGAGAGAGGAGAAGAGGTTAGCATGCCTAAAAACTTCTGCATGTTTAAGTGTATTGGTTGGCCTAATAAAAGATATTGCCTCTTTGTAATGCTTTGCTTCTCTTGAGATACTTAAGCGTTAATCCATACCTATAGGGAAATGCAGTTCAAATTAAACATGAGCCATTAATGAAAATTGCATTCAGTGACCCAGTAACCTAATTACCATTCACATTGATTGGGAGAATCCCAGGGCTTAAAGTTGATGTTCTACTCAGGGTCCTTTTTCCCTCTTGCAGGACACTCTGACCCTCCTATCCGCCTTCCCACCCTGTGCCCCAAAAAGGTCTCAAGACATTATTCAAACATTGCTACAGCCAAATCAAAACAGGAATCAAAGGAGAATTAATAGCGTGCCTGGGTGTGATGAAAAGGCAGGGCTGGTGCTGTAAAGGTAGCAATGTATTTTGCACATGTAGCAGTTAAGTAAAATTTCTGTCATCATTCAGGATGCTTCGATGCAGACATGCTACTGGAGGAGCTGTAGGTAGTCAAAGGCATAGAGACAGGGATTTATACAGGTGAGAAACCAGTAAACCCAGACTTTGCACATCAAAAAGCAACTGCACCAGCCTGAGGGAAGCACTGGACTTTATTTCCATCCATGGATACACATTACGTGTGCGTTATTTGCCAGGTACTGTGTTGCAGGGGGGAAAGCTCAGAGCAGAGCCTGCCCCTACCTCCAGCACGCAGCACAAGCCCCCAGGTCCAACCTGGCTGTGCTAGAGCAAATTACTGGCCACTTCCTGGAGTAAATAGTCTTGTTTGTTGCTGATCTGCCTGGTACTGAGGGCAAACTACAGGCAAAGTGACATGTGCGTTGTGGGTCACGGCGTGGTGGTGCTCCCCAACAGGAACATCGCATCACCCTGCCTTCTGCAAACTGAGAGGGCAATGAAATATTTATGAGACTGCTTTGGATGGGAGCAGCTGTTTCATCTGACACTGGCACAATTTGTCAGTAGGAGACATAAAATATAATGCCAGATCAAGAGCTTAAAATTTACACATACAAAATAATGCTTTTTAATGTATAAAATGTTAAGAAGGTCTATTTAAATACATATATTTCCCCAGGTGACAAGCCGGATGCAGATTTGAACAGCTTTTAAATAATTTGTGCAATGCACAGTAGCATCCTTGAGTCCCCATTAAATTTCACTGGCCAAGGCTCATAATCAAACAGTGCTTATGGGCTGCAGCAGCCTTTGACTAAAAGGCTTCACAAGTGTTGGTAGCAGCATATTTTCCATACTCCAGCTTAGCCTCATGGTTTCCTTTGACATGGAAAGATACATAGAATCATAGAATAGTTAGGGTTGGAAAGGACCTTAAGATCATGTAGTTCCAACCCCCCTGCCATGAGCAGGGACACCACACGCATCATATAATTCATGATGAACTATTGGAGTGGTGTTTAGTTGGCATTTCTCCTATTCTGGTCTTTTTCTTCCGAATTTTGGGGAACTCTGTCAGTGGTGGAGGAAAGGGAAGATAAAGGCAGTAAAGATGAAAGGAGGAGCACGATGATCTTTTTTTTAGTTGGTTTTGGGTATTTATAAATGCATTGCCCCTTGCTACCACATTTACCATGTTTTTATTTGCTAAACAGAAAATTATTTCCATTATTAAATAGGAATTTCGCATTTGAAAAGCACTCCCTATTGTTTCAATTGTTTGATAGCTCAAAGTCAACGTAGACCTTGGAGGTGGCACATGGTTTTGTAGTATCAATTATTTGCCAATTATTTATGTTTGGGACAGAAGAAATCAGTTGCTGGAGAGAAAGCATCTCTGTAATGTCTGCCAGTGATTAGACACTGTGGCTGTGCAGTCACTCTCAGAGACAGCCTCAAGGTCTGGATAGCTTCAGAAACGCCTGGTCTGCTCCTGTAGCAATTAGCGTTGGTAATGCTACACAAGTTTGAGCTGTCATCGTGTTGCTGCACTCAGAAGAGTAATCAAGTGAAAGGCTTTAATATCATAACAAGCCAAGTGATCTTCAAAGTAGCTTTTAAAAATGGACTGTTAGTAAAATCTAGCAGGTATTAATTAGCTAAGAATGAAAACAAAAAGCAGAGACAATCTTTCATCACTGTTTCTGTAACAGCTGTCTTTATGTTTGTAACAACACCAAGAATGAAGGGTAATACTTTAACTCTTAAAGCCAAAGATCTGACACTAAGATGATGAAAAATTCAGTTATTTTATATTGTTTCTAAAAGCAAATGTGTTAAATACATGTGTTGGTGAACTAGAGACATGACTGAAATCTATTGTGCAATGAGATCATTATTGGTTTTATGTTGAAGATTAGCTTTGCTCAGTCATATACAATTTTTTATTATGGGAATGTGGAATAATGCCCTTTTCGTCTCCACTCACATAATTTTTCACAGCAGTCTCCTGTGTGCTTTATGAAGATAGCTGCAAACCCAAAATTTGATAGGTCACTTCCAATTCTTTTTGTGTTTTCATATTTCATATAGTCCATGAAGAACCCTCATAAATTTTTCATACTAGCCCATAAAGATTTATTGTGAAAGAGAGACTCAGAACAGCCCTTTACTATTTCCAAGAAACCCAAGTGTAGAACTCACTGTTGGAACAATATTTTAGAAATAATCAGTTTGTAATAGCTATTTTGTCACAGCAGGAGATACACTTTGTGTAAAGTTGGAGTTAAATCACTTAAGACAAAAATGTAATGGAGTTGTTCCTAATGATCTTTATACTGTTACAAAGGTAATCAAGTCATTTGTGTGTCTAGTGACTGCACATGCCATCAGATAGCAACCACTGCCACCCAAGAGCACATACATTGCATATGCTATTTCAGCTGTTGTATAGAAAACAGCTGGATTCAAGAACTCAAGAACTAATCTTCATTTGTAAGCATCATCACAGACCGTACTGTAGACCCCAGATTTCATCCATGGGGTTTAAGAATGATGTATGTGGGTTTGTTGGAAATTTCCATTTGTGTGTGGTATACGAAACACATGTGCCTCCACATATAAATCCAGTTTTCTCTTAGACCAGTTGGAGAAGATTTGTTTCATCACCGTTTATGGTCCCAGTATTTTACTGAGAGCATACTAAATACCTTCTGTAAATCTGTAAGTCAGAAGATAAGGTTAGTAAGTGGGTTATGATTCTTCCCATTCCGTGACTATAAAATATTTTTCTTTTCATGCATTTATTTACAGTTTTGTCATAAGTATTCTGAATTATCCGAGGATATAACGGCAATCCTTTCATCCACAAACTGCGCAATAAAATACAGCTATTTATGTTTTTACGTTTAACATGTCTTTTCTTTCTAGCATTTCAAGTTTCTCAAAAGAGAGGCAAACAAGACCAAGCTGCTTTAGCAGAAAGACAAAGTTACCCATTCTTATACTGGATGCATCTTAATTAAAAAAATAAATTATGTATTATGCCTTTTCTTCCATCTTTGCAATCATCCTTTTAAAACTTTAATCACAGTTTAAAGTGCAACCAACCCAACACAGTTTAAAGTGTCTTAAACCCTGCAGTCCTGATGGACTGTGATGATACTTGTATTTCAAAAGTGCCAGGCTGGCTTCAGAGCAGATGTCCTACAGTAACTTGTAGAGATTGGGATCATTACTTTTCATCTTTATCATTCCTTTCCCCTGCCTCCCCTAGCTTGATATAACCCCCTTACAGGATGCATTCAATCCTTTCCCTGAGGTCTTCTGCCTTTCTTTTTATTTTTGCTGTGAATAAGAAAATTGGACCAAAAAAGCTGTGTTTTCATATGGCCCCATTGTACATTCAGATCTACCTTCTCGTTTTTTGTATCTCTTGATAATCCCTTGCTTGCAGCCTGCAGAGGAGCTCATTTGCATTCCTTAATTTAATTGACTTGCTTTTAGGAATAGAAGACATTGATGATTTTTTTTATCCAAACATATGCCTTTTATACTTTCAAATTTAATAGACTGTCAACACCAAGTGAAACGGAGGAGGGGAAGGAAATAAACAAATCCAAATCAAACCAGGAGATGCTAACAGCTCCTTTTTCTCCATGGGTTTTTACTGTGATTGGCCAGAGTTGCAGAGATGTCCCTTTTCGAGAAGCACCCCTATTCCTTTTGAAATAACCTCCCTGCCAAAGAATTAAAATGCTTTTTTTTCTTGCCAAATATTTTAAATTATCAAAATTAATTGCTTACTTTTGGAGATCCATTAATCATATAAAGACAGTAATCTGAATTGTTTAATAGATGATAAATCGTTTTCATAAATACCTTTCATGCTTTTTCCAGTTTGCAGAGAAATTTCAAGAAGTAAAAGAAGCTGCCAAATTAGCAAGAGACAGATCTCAAGAGAAAATTGAGACCTCAAGCAATCATTCCCAGGTTTGTAATTTAGCTTTAATACCTGTACACATACAGGAGAAATAATTTAAAGTTAAATTTTCTAGTGGACTGTACCAGCTTCTGGCAGCAAGCTTAAAGTATATAAAATGAAGATTGCCAAAGGTAATTGTCAGCAGCTGGACATTAGGATCGTCAGAGGAATATTTTTCATTCATCCATGCTCTTTGCCTTCATTAAAATCTAATTTCTTTCAGCGATTCTTGAGCTGTTATAACTTTTTTAATAACAGATAAAGCCATACATCCTTTGATTTGTACATAGTTTGGGCCACTGGAAAGTAAGTCAGTGTAGTGCCTTAGCAGACAGTAAATGAGATTCATCGAGATACTTCTTTTTGTCATCTAATTCACTTTTTGTAGGAGTTCAGTTTGCCAATAGTGAGACTGACTTTGTGGTCATAGTACTTCATTGCTGTGGTGTGGAAACAGAAGCAGTGCTTTAGTGAGTGGTTGGAAGAAGCTTGTGTGGCGTGTTTGTACAATACACTTTTCTAGGCAGCACATCTTGATACAGCCAAGTGCCTCCTTGTCCAGGGAAGTCTGGGTTTCTTACAAATTGAAGAAATTGCGTGTTGTCTCAGCCTCACTATATGTCTGACTTGAATTTCATAAGCATTGCATTAGGTAAGAATGAATCCCGTTCAGTGGGTGTTCATGGCCTGGGCTAGTGTTTGGAGGAAAGGTAGATGAATTTTGATCAGAAAAGAATTCAAATGCATTATTCACATGCAAGAGTGAACTAACCGTCTTTGCAGGGTCCACAAATATTAATCTGAGAGGCTACTTTGGATACTTACTTTTTAAAGACTTCGGTCATAGCCTTTATGTTTCACCTTGTCCTTGCTTGGTGATCAGCACCAAGCAGTGGATAGATGGTATCTCTTTGGAGGAGCAGTACCTTCTTTTTTTGTTTTTAGTTTGGATTTGTGTGCTTCCAGGTGCATAGTATTGTTTCATTATCTTAAAAAAAAAATAGACAACCTTTAGAAAACACAAGCCTTGTCATGAAAACACTTCAAAACATCTTTTGAACACTTTAAACTTCCATTTTGTATGTTCTTATAATTTTTTCATTCTTTTTTTAAACAGACCAGCTTTGCAGCCAAGATGTAAAGGGTATGTGTTTGTTACCACTGTTCTGCCAGGAGAGCATGTGCTGCCTAGGTCTCAGCAGGGTGTTGTTGGATCAATATTACAAAGAAATTGATGTTGCAGGAGATGCAGGAGACCCCCAGTATTCATTTGTGTGTTGTGCTACAGGAATCTGGACGTGAAACACCATCTTCCACTCGAGCATCTAGTGTGAACGGGACAGACGATGAGAAGGCGTCACATGGAGGTCCTGCTGAGGCACATCTCAAGTCTGAGAATGATAAATTAAAAATTGCTCTAGCCCAAAGGTGAAGTTGCTTTAATACCTAAATTGCACTGGAATAGCATGCTGTAATTATCTGGTGGCTAATGATATTAACAGAAATTATTCAAATGTAATTGCATTCGTTTAAAATGATGTGGCAGAATGGATGAATGAGCAGATTTCAGCAAGTACCTCCCGGTATGCAGTTGGAAGATATTTGCCATTTAGTCTTTTCCTGTTCTACTTCGTGATGAAATAAGATCTCTTTTACTCCGCTGATGCCAACTCTCAGAACCACCTTCATTTGTGAAGTTTTAGAGCTACAGAAATAACATTAAAACCATGGGGGAGCAATTGCTGCTGATAACATGTGAAACCAATCTCTTTTCCTCTTTGAGTTTGCTATATTTACTTTGATGAAAATAGATATGGATATGTAAAATTATAAAAGGGAATGAACTCAACTGGAAAAGTTGAAATAAGAAATAAAATTTCATCAGTCTGCTTAGAAGTCTTAGGGGAATGTTTCTAAAGCTGTGGACAATGCCCCTTGAAGTCACATTTTTTGCTATTTGCTTTGATAAATTAATTTGAAAATTATAAGAAGAGTAATTTGCAGCCATAGTGAAAATACAGGCATTGGAATATGCAAAGTTGCAACATTAAAATGGAATAATTCTCCACTGGGATCTTGCCTTATCTGCCTCTTGCATGTGAATATATCTGTCAATGGAAATACAATCTATCAGGTTCAAGCTACTCTTAAGCTATTTAAATTAAGGCAGCAGCACCACAAGCAGCATTACCCGTATATTATGCATATATGATATTTGAAGCACATCATCTCTCTTTATTGACATTTCAATAGAGTAACCTATTTCAAATCATAACGTTTGTTCATTCCTCCTGC